CCAGAAGGTGGAATGAGCCATGGGGGGACCCCAGAATGTGGAAGGAGCCATTGGGGACCCCACAAAGGTTTGGGGTGCACGGCTGACCCCCATCCCCTCGGCAGGGGCGGCCGTGGGGACCGCACGGGGCGTTACGGGGGTGCCCCACCCCTCTCCGAGGACGGCTCCCGCAGCCAGCGCGACCACGACTATCGCGACATGGACTATCGCGGCTACGGGGGACCCCCGGAGGGGCCCCCCGCTGCCGGGACCCCCCCTCAGGTGAGCCAGCGTCTCGTTACTGAGCTCGGATTCGGGTTCTTCTTCCCTTTGATCCCAGGATTGACGAGAGTGTCGGCGTTCAGGAACACCCATAATCACAAATAATTACATGAAAGTGCTTTATTTCAAGAGCTTTGGGTGTCAGGGGTGCACAGAGCCAAATCTGACCCCGTTTGGTTTTGAGTTGAATATATTTTATTCTATTGTTACACAATATATAGTTAACATATTATTATTCTTATATAATTATTAACACATAATTAGCATATGTTAATTTAATAAATTAATTTAATATATCGATTAAATATATTAATTTAATATATTGATTTAATATATTGATTTAATATATTGATTAAATATATTGATTAATTATAATTTTATGCAATTTAGTACTTGCATATTAATTATTCAAATTATCTTATTCTATTGTATGCATTGTTTTTACCCAAGCACGGATTTCTCCTGATCCCCCCCCCAGCCCCCTAACATTGTTCCTCACGTTCTTTGAACAATAATTATATCTAATCACATCTAACAATTGTATCATTTATCATTTACTGACTCCACAGGTGCAGCTTGACCTGATCTTCAGCAAGCACAAGGCCTAACATTCCCAGGGCCTGCTTTTCCCAGGGCTTGTCAAACCTAAGTCCCTGAATTTTCTAAGGTTTTAAGACCTTTTACTATCAAGAGAGAGGCAATTTTCTCTCCTTCAGTCTCAGTTGTTTATTTTTTCCTTATCAGCATTACAAGGTACAAGGAGCTGTGTGCACCGTGATAAAAAAGAGATAAAACGGCCAACAAATATTCTTTTCAAGGTCTTTTATATGTCCATTTACCCAATTAAGAGGTGCTAAATTAAATAATATTTAATTTTGAGGAATTAAATTTTTTGAATGATTTAAAATATTTTAAATTCTAAAATTTAAAGTTACACCATTAAATTAAAAATTGTTGTTATTATTATATTTATGCTTACATTTATATTAATACTTATATTTCTATTTATACTTATATTTATATTTATGCTTATGTTTATATTTATATTTATACTTATATTTATGCTTATGTTTATGTTTATATTTATACTTATATTTATACTTGCATTTATATTTATATTTATATTTATATTTATATTTATATTTATACTTATACTTATATTTATATTTATATTTACATTTATGTTTACATTTACTTTTATATTTATATTTGTATTTATGTTTATGTTTATGTTTAAATTTACTTTTATATTTATGTTTATATTTTTATTTATATTTATATTTATATTTATATTTATATTTATATTTATATTTATTTTTCTTAGTGACCCAATGACCCAACACCCGTGCGCTGCACTGCAGCATTTTTTACCCAATCACTTAAAACCACCCAAAAACCCCCAGGAGAAGAACAGGAAAAAGAAAGAAAGACAAGAAACAACACCCTAAATAAATCCTCTATCTTGTCTCCTGCTCTCTAAACTACTTTTTCACCCAGTGATTTAAGGAAGTTTTTAATCTGCACACTTTGACTTTTCCCCTATCTAACTTTAACGTTTGTTTTCGTGTATCACCGTGAAAACGCGCTGGTGAATTTTATATTATATGAAATTCAATGTTTGAATGCTAGAATTCAGCGTTAGAAGCAAGGGCACACACTCTGGATCTCAGGCTCCAACACGCCGCCTGCCGGGGAGGGCTCACCCCACTGCGGGTGGGCTCTGAGCCCCCTCCCACACATCCCTCCCTCCCTCCCCTCCCCCAGGCCTCCTACGAGAACTCGGAGCCCCCCCGCAAACGGGAGCAGCCCCGGGAGCCTCCCCGGGACCCCCCGGCGCTGCCGTTCGGCGCCGACGGCGATTACCGGGACCAGGATTACCGGGAGGGCGCCGAGGAGGAGCCGAGGGCCAGCACCATCGTCATGCTGCGCATGCTGCCCCAGGCGGCCACCGAGAACGACGTGAGCCCCGCCCTCTTTGGCCACGCCTTCTTTTTTGGGAAGGCGCCACCCCTTTACCTGGCAGAGCCCCGCCCCCTTCAGCTATCGCCCATTCCCTTCTGGGATGGCCACGCCTCCTTTTTGGGAAAGGCTCCACCCCTTTACCTGGGATAGCCCCACCCCACCTGTTCAAATCGAGGATGGCCTCGCCCCTTACACCAGAGCAAATTTGTTTCTGGGATGGCCACGCACCCTTTTTGGGAAGGCTCCGCCCCTTTACCTGGGATGGCCCCGCCCCCTTAGCCATAGCCACTCCCTTCTGGGATGCCCACGCCCCCTTTTGGGAAAAGCTCCGCCCCTTTACCTGGGATAGCTCCTCCCCCTTCAGCCATAGCCACTCCCTTCTGGGGTGGCCACGCCCCTTTCACAGTGGCCACGCCCCCATGGAGGGCGGCTCTGTCCTAATTTGTGGTGGTCCCGCCCACTTGAGAGGTTCTGTTCCTTTAAATCCCACCTGCGTTCCCAAATGTCCATCAGTGGTTTGGCCACGCCCCCCCTGGAGCCACACCCATGCTAAGCCCCGCCCCCATTCACGAGCTGCTTTAAACACACCTGAGGTGTTATGGCCACGCCCCCCCAGGTAACCCAGGTGAGCCCTTGGCCACGCCCCCACACTCCACCCCTGTCCCTGGGACACCCCGAGGTCACCTGGGCCCCTCCCACTCACCTGGGGACATTCTGGGGGCTCTCAGGTGAGGAGGCTCAGGTGGGGTTTGAGGTGTGCCCAGCCCCGAGTGCTCCCAGGTGCCCTCTGGGGTGTCCCCAAGTGTCCCAGCCCTGTCCCCAGG